ACTCCTAGATGGAATGCTGATAAGAAGGTTAACAAAAGTATTTCAACTGAAAATGTCGCTAAAGTCAAATGAAAAAGTTTCTCTTTGATAATTTATTCGTTAATTTGAGCATGGCTACTTTAGTTGTACAATTAAGCTGGTGTACAGCTATTTGAAAAAAGGCAATTCATAACCGCGCCAATCAGCCAACCAATTGACATAGTTAACGTCCAGATCTTCGCTGAATACCTCAACGCATTTCCATAGCTACGGTTACATTTCCCCTCCAAGCACACTTGGCAGCCTTCTAAAGCCTCTGCGCCGTACTTGTCTGCCAATAGAGCACAAGCGTTCTGTTCCGGTCGCATTGCCACACAACCTTTGTTGATTTGCACCTTATTTTTGCCTGGAAATGATCAAAAAATAGATTTAATAAAAATCGTTGAAAAACAAAGCAAGCCTTACCTTTGACGCGCACGCTGTAACATTTATAAGTTATGTTTCCCATGTTCATTCTTGCTAGGTCTCCTATTTTGTTATATTTGTGTTGTAAAAGCTGCCTTGAGCTTCGTCTCAATGAATTTTCATGCGTTGGTCTAATTACTCTCTCATCGTTAGATCCTTCAACTAATATAACGTTCTCGCCAGTAAGTCCTGTAGTCGGTGAAGAATTTTGGTAGGGAGCATTTGCCGAACTAAGATCAGAAGTTTCGGCCAGTCCCGGAATATTGGTCTCGTTAGAAGCGCTGATTAATGAACTTTGATTCGTAAGTCCAACGAAATCGTTAGATCCTTCCACCACTGTTAAGTTCCCTGTTTGCTGTGTAGCGTTAGGTCTTCCGGGGGTTGTAGTATTGAGTCCAGTGATTCCTAGAGTCAGTGCAGGATATTGGTCGGAGGTTGTAGTATTGATCGAATTTAGATTATAAGTCTCGTTAGAAGCGTTGAATACTGAACTTTCATTTGTAAGTCCAACGAAATCGTTAGATTCTTCCACCAATGTTATGTTCCCACTAGCAATTCCTGTTTGCTGTGTAGCGTTGGGTCTTCCGGGGGTTGTAATATTGAGTCTAGTGATTCCTGTGGTCGGTGCAGCATTTGCGT